GATCTTGATTCTGGTTGTTCGATGCATTTCTGCTTGATAAAAGATCCCGGAAAAAGCAGCCGGCGAGAAGCGATCGCAGCGGGCGGAAAAGACAATGAAAGTTAAAAGTCGTTCAGCAGAAAATGAATGTGAGCCAAGCGGCCATCTTGAAGCGAGCTGCAGACGCTGCTGTCAATGGGCAACGAGCGCAGCCGAGAGGAGCCGCGGCCGCCGCGCTCGGCTCATGCTGCCTCCCGAGCCCGGCCTCCTCCTCCTCCTCCGCCTCGGCCTCCTCCTCCGCGGCCTCCTCCTCCTCCTCCTCGGCCTCCAACGCCTCCTCCTCCTGGGCCTCCTCCTCCTCCTCGGCCGCCGCCGCCTCCTCCCGCTCCGCACTCGGGGGAGGGAGCGCGCGGAGGGGGCGCGATCAGTATTATTCTGCGGGGCTGGGAGGTGTTTCTAATCCGGATCGGGGCTCCCTCGCCAACATCCCCATTGTCTCGCCCCGATCTCTGCCTTTAATACTACGATTATTATTTCATAGTTGCCGTGGGGGGAGGAGGGGGTGGGGGGCGCCGTGTGTGTGCGTGCGGAGAGGCGGGGGGAGGGGAGGAAGGCTGAGGAGGGGGAGGGGAGGGTGGAAAAAAAAAAGCACCGCTGAAGGCAGAGTGGAAACTGACACCGGCTCCAAAATGGCTCAGAGTCCGCCCGCCCCCTCCCCCCGCCGCCCCCCCACCGGGTCACGTGCTCCCCTCATTCCTTAAGGGCGGCCTGGGAATTAGTGTCGGTGTAGTCGGGCCCGCGGCCGCCCCCTCCCCTCGGAGCAGCGCGACCCGGCCCCCTCCCCCTCGCTCGGCGCGGCGGCGGCGCTGGCGCGGCTGCGGAGACATTTCTCCACAGCGCCACACGCGCCACCCTGCTCTCGGCGCGGGCATCGCTCCGGCCCCGCAAGCAGTTCAGCCCACCCCCCCCCCCCGTTATTTCTTTCTTGCCGCCGCCCGCCTCCGCCCGCGGTGCACACGTCCGCGGGCTCCAGCCGAGGAGATCGCCCGGCCGCCGCCCCCCGCTCGGCCCCAGGGGCTGCGGCCCAGACTCCGGCGCCGCGGCGCGGAACCTGCGACCGAGTTGGGCTCGCGGAAACAACAGCGCCCGCCCCAGTCTTCCCGCGGCCGCGCCGGCCCCCTTCCCCGCCCGCCAGTGGCCGAGGCGGGGCGCGCGCGGGCAGCCGCTCGCTCCGGGCAGGGGCTCCGCGCGGGGCCGGCCGGCCGGGCCGGGCCTCCGGAGCCCCACGGGCGAGGGTCGGGCTGCGGGCGAGCCCTCGGGCACAGGTAACGGGACGGGCCAGCTCCCGGCGCGGGGCGACCGCGCCCTTTCCCCACGTCCCGAAGCTGGGGTCTTAAGGCAACCCCGAAGATCGCATCCTTTCCCACTACGCTTAACTTTAATCCTGAGAAGAGGCGATCGTTAAAAGTTAACGCCAATCGTGTCTGCGTTTTCAAAGTAATAATTAACAAACTCAAATCCAAACAAACTCTCAGCACTCTTTAGTGGGAACAACTTATTTATTCAGAATATAATACTGTCTGCTTCCTTTTGGAAGACTTGGAAAAGATCAAATATGATCAGTGTACGGATAATACTAAAGATGATTCAAATACTTAGGCAGACTTTCCCTCTTAACCCTTTCACAAGTGTAAAAGAAAAAGTGTCAAAATTGATGAGTGACACAAATCCAAAAGAAAAAATTTGTTCTCCTGAAAAGGAAGACATCCAGCTCGCAGAAACGATGGTTCGGCGGAGGCAAGGCGTTCCTGGTCTTCCTCTAGACCGGGGCAGATCGTTAACTTCCCCAAATTACAACTGAGTTGCTCTTTCCAGGCTTTTCGAAGCATCTTTAAGTTTCCCTACTAAGTCCTGAAGATGTGTATGATGAATCGTTTTTAGGATAAAAACACAAGAAAGAAGTATCCAACTTTGAGAAAGATGCAAGAAAAGAGTCGGGGGACGCTTTCTAAACAAGTTTAAAATTCACAAAGATTTTAAACCTTTGACAAACCACTATCAAAAGAAGGTTTTCTTCTAAAATATAAAAGATGTAAAAAATTAAAAGAAGGTCAATAGAAAGTTTTCCTCTAAAATATCTCATCTTCAAATGGGCTGCTTGCCCTCAGATGTGAGATATAGTTTCTAACTGAATCCTCTGAACAGGCGAAGTATATCAAAATTAAAATTTCTCAAGTTATCTAACAAAGATTATGCTGTATTCACATCTTTTGAAAGTTTAAAGTTTGATTAATGGTTACATTAAAACGACTCTGCAGGAGATCCCTTTTGAAAAATTCAATCTCATCAAAATTTCAAGCAATGACCTTCATTTTTTTAAGTGGTAAGAAATAAATTCGTTGTCATGTCCATTAATCAATGTAATTTTTAATTTCCCCAGTCTTACACTGGCAATATAAACAGTTTTAGAATTTTGTATACTTGCTCCTTTATAAAAAGTCATTTACAACTACTGTTTAAAAATCATGTTTTGAGAGTTTAATTCAATTTCTGAAAGCAAAGAAGACATTTTCAAAGCCAAGCTCTTCCTTTTGCTTTGTCCTATTGGCTCACACTTATCACAAATAGAAGGAATTTACACTCAACACTACACAAGTTTATTTTAATTGGAGGGAACAGCAAATGCAGACCAATTCTGTTAGTAACATCATAATTTCAAAAGCGAAGCCTACGTTAAAATATTGCTTTTGAAGCCCCCTCACCATTAAATCCTTAACCAACCTTCATTATCTACTGACAGATGGTTAATTTTCTTTTGAACTTTACATAGGCATAATTCTCAATTAAAAATCTGTAAAAAGGTAGGCATATTCACAGATCCTAATACTGTACCTGTAATTGTTCCATGTTGCAACTAAAACTAATTTCTGCGTGGGATCGGGAATCAGTGTTCTAGGGAAGAAAAAAATGCTGTTTATTTAAATCAAGGAAATTTTAAATTTCATTACACATTTAAGTTTTAGACAGGGCTTATGTATAAATACCTCTATATTTAAGGTCACCAAATATGCAGATCTGTACATCTTATCAAGTTGATTGGTCTAAAACAACACAACACATTGATTTCAGTCTTTAACTCTTATTTTTTTAAAAAAGTTCCCTAAGTTCCCCTAGAAAACAGTTTGTTAAACTTTACCTTTATCTGATATTCCAAATGCCAAGAAACATCAGTTATATGAGGGAAAGATCTGCCTATACTGAAAGATACAATGATAATTTTGTACATAATAGCTACAGGAAAACTTTTAGTATTTATCTTCACCAACAATGGTGTCTACCACCTCCCCACCACACACACTATTTTAATCCATTCTGAATTTAAAACATTGTTAAACTTTATTTTCAAGTTCTGAAGAGTAAAGAGCATTTTAAAAATTATCTCCATAAGCTTTATCTTTAAAAACATTAGCTTAACTGCAATTGTTTCACTTGCCCTTTAGCCCCTTTTCTTTTGGTCTAGATCCCGTTTTTTTGTCCTGTTTTGTTTCACACCAACACTCTCCATTCATACCTGCAAGTAAAAAGTAGCTCAGCTTGACACCTTATACAGGACCTACCTTCCCAGTAGGATTTCTAGGGAATTCCTATTATTCTGGGAGGAAAAAAAAGAAAGAAAATATGTCTTTGCAAACAGAGTAGAAGAAAAATAGTAATTGTTAATTTTTAAAAATTTAAGTAAGTAACCTGATATTCCGTGCAAAACAATTCTATTCTCTCGCTGTCAAATTTACAGTCCTCTAGATAAGTGCTAAAGAAAAAAAAAGCCTAAGTTTAGTCTCCATTTTAAAAACTGAAATTGGAATCATAAAGGTACTATTTGAAAACAAATGGATATTTAAATAAATCCTGTACCTTAGAGTTGATTTGTCAGCTCTTTGCTTTCCAGCCTCCAGTATGTAAGTTGCAGCTGCTGCATGACAATGTTTTAAAACCACTGGATCGATATGTTTCAAGTCTGGGTGATCTAAAATAAATTAATTGCCAGTGATGCCTGTGACAATAAATTCTTTATAGTCCTGTTTCTAAAAAGGAATTTTAATTTGGGTAAAGAACCCTCTCTAACAAGATAACAAGAAGAATTCAACTATAAGGACTGGAAATTATAAGTAAATGAGATGTGCAACATGGTCAATGGCAAAACAATAAAGATCACACATCAATAATTATGCAATTACCTGGTCAAATTACCTTCTTTTACTTTACCTTAATACTCTTATTTTTTAAAAAACATAGTCCTAGAGTAAAATATACAGTGGTCACTCTAAAGATGGAGTAAATTCCGAGGAAAATAAGAAGATAAATATTTTATATGGTGTAAATT